CTGCTCTTCCCCTTCAACCCATAATCATTCTTAAGTTCCACCCACCTTTTTAAAAAGTCCTTAGATCTCCTTTATTCATTGCTCATTTTTTAACTTTTCCAATCAAGCTCCGTGAAAGAAGTCTCCAGTTCTCACCATGTACACAGTTCTTCATGACCTGCAAGTGGACATTAGCTCAGCTGAACTGAGATATTCATATCAAAACTGCCAGGCATTGTCTTCTCCATTCAGTGGCACATTCCATTCCTTTCCTCCTAACCTCGAGGATCCCATCTTAATATTCCCTTAATATTCGGGATCCAACTTTCTCTCAGTCTTCTTTCAAACATTCTTCCGTCTCAGACTCCTTGCTCCCTCATCTCTTTTAATCCTTTTAATACTGGTGTTCCCTGGTCTCCTACTCATGTTTTCACCTTCTCATACGACATTTTATTTAACTATCACTAATACCTATATGTCTAAATCTACATTTGAATCACAATCACAAAACAAGCTCCAGAGCAAATTGCCCACTGACCATCCTTCAACACCATGTAGCATAGTTTCCTAAACAAATAAAAAGAAGGCGAAAAAAGTGCTCATCATCTTTCCTCACAAACTTGTTCTGAAAATGAATAACCCAATTTTAAAATGAGCAAAGGATCTGAAGACATTTCTCAAAAGTTTAGACATACAAATAGCCAACAGGTATATGAAAAAGTGATCAACATCACCAATCATCAGGGAAAGCAAATTAAAACTACAGTGAGATATCACTTCTCACCTGTTAGAATGGCTTATCAAAAAACAAAAAAAAAATTTTTCAAGTGTGGAGGAAGGTGTAGGGAAAAAAAGGAACACTTGTCTACTGTTGGTGGGAATGTAAATTAGTACATCTTTTTTTTTTTTTTTTTGGTGAACCTCTATATAGAACTGGAATACTACATATGACCTGCTGTAGAACTGCCATATGACCCAGCAATACCACTACAGAGCATACAGCCAACGGATGGGAAACCGGTATGTCAAAGAGATATCTGCCCTCCCAAGTCTGCAGCATGGTTCACAATACCCAAGTAGTGGAATCAAACTGAGTGTCCTCCAATGAATGGATAGATAAAGAAAATGTGATGTATATACACAATGAAATACTGTCTAGCCTTTAAAGGGGAGATTCTGTCATCTGCAACAACATGGACGAAGCTGAAGGATATTATGTTAAGTGAAATAAGCCAGGTTATTTTCACAGAAAAGCAAACACTGCATGATATCACTAATCTGTGGAATCAAATAAAGTCGAACTCAGAGAAGCAGAGAGTAAACAGTGGTCACCAGAGGCTGGGAACAAGGGGAGGGAGGATTGTGGAGATGGTGGCAATGGATAGAAAATTTCTATTAAGCAAGAAGAATCAACTGGATGAGCTCAAGAGACCCACTTACACCATGTTGGCCATAGTTAGTGACAATGACTTGCATACTTGAAAATTGCTCGGAGAGTAGATTTTAAGTGTTCTCATTACAAATAAATGGAATGTGAAGTAATACATATTTTAATTAACTTCAATTAGCTATTCCATATGTAAACAGATTTAAAAGCATCATGTTGTACACCATAAATATACACAATTTTATCTGGGAATTAAAAATAAAGAAAGAATAATTTTTAAGAACTTGTTCTCAGACCTCACGTTGACAACTGATACCACTGATCTACCCTGTCACCTAATCTGACATTTCCTTAATTTCTCCATTTTCCACATTATCACTAATTTGTATATTCCTTTCTAAATATTAAAAAAAAATGTACAATTAAGTAGGAAAAGTTTTCTTTCTTTCTGTTTTTTTTCCCATGGTGTTGGCACTGAACCCAAGGCATTGCACACTTAGGCAATCACTCTACCACTGATCCACAGCCCCAGCCCAATATGTCTTCTTTAAATTACTTTAAGTGTATATTTTTATTTACCTTGTATCAACAAATAGATAACATGCAAACCCCTTAGAGAATCTAAGGAAGAGTTAGATAGTATTTAAATTTAGATGTGTGTAAATTTTGCCTCTAGAATGTGTTAAAAAGCTAGAAAGGTCTATTCTATTGAATATCTGAAACATTTTCCTTCTCTATTTGCCTATATTACAGTATCTATTGAAGAAAGATGGTTTAGATTAATCCCAATTTGTTTTCAACCCAATCCCCATTCTAGGAAATGAGAAGATATAACTAAGATAGAGAGATAGAGATAGGGATAGAGATGGAGATGGAGATGGAGATATAGATAGATAGATAGATAGATAGATAGATCGATCATATATATATATATATATATATATATATATATATATATAACAAGAAACACTATGGAGCAAAACTTTATTTCCTGATTCTCTTTCTGCATCTGCACCCCAGGTCCTTTGCCACTTCACCTGATGCTTCCTTTGGCATTGAAAAAGGAGTTGACACTGCTTCTTGACTCATAATCACAGTATCATGTTCACTTGGACACTTTTTTACAAAGGATTTGATCTGATTTCATTTTCATCATAAAAAAACAAGTCCTTAGACTATTATTGGCTCCTCTTAGAGTTAAGAAACTAAGAATAGAGTTAGGGAGAAATGCTCAAAGTAAATGGCTAGGGAAAAATCAAACTCCATACTGTGTCTCTGTGCCCAGCAATTCTTCCGCATGTTGGAAAGATTAAAGAGATGGTCATAGGTCTACGAGTTTGAGCCAATCAATAGAACTACAAGGAATCTGCAAACTTATGTGTGCGCGCATGCACGTGCATTCCCAGCAAAGACGCTAGGGACAAATGAATCAAAGAAAAGGCCTATCTACCTGGAAAACCTTTTTCTGTTTTCTTATAATTTCTTTAAAACATCTCCTTCCTCTTGTGTTTCTTTCTCTAATCTTAGTACCCTAAGATTTCCTTGCCTCTTCTAACATTAAAGGAAAGTTCAGAAATGTGCTGATTACTGCTTCTCTTTGAATTTTCCCTATCTCTTGATCATCTCACCAGCTGATCTCAAGTCTTTACTCGAAAATTGTGACATTCTAAACAGCATTCATTTTTGTAAAAGGCAAAATGAGATAAGATCAAAGCCATGTAAAAACAAATTCTTCTTTTTTTTCTTTTTTTTTTTTAATTTTTTATTGTGGGTTGTTCAAAACATTACAAATTTCTTGACATATCATATTCCACACTTTGATTCTAGTGGGTTATGAACTCCCACCTTCACCCCATACACAGATTGCAGATTCACATCAGTTACACATCCATTGATTTACAAATTGCCATACTAGTGTCTGTTGTGCTCCGCTGCCTTTCCCATCATCCACCCTCCCCCCTCCCCACCTCTCCCCTCCCCTCCCCTCCTCTCTCTCTACCCCCTCCACTGTATAACCCTGAGGGTCTCCTTCCATTACCGTGCAATTTACCTTCTCTCTCCCTTTCCCTCCCACCTCTCATCCCTGTTAAATGTTAATCTTCTTCTCCTGTTCTTCGTCCCTACTCTGTTCTTAGTTACTTTCCTTATATCAAAGAAGACATTTGGCATTTGTTTTTTAGGGATTGGCTAGCTTCACTTAGCATAATCTGCTCTAATGCCATCCATTTCCCTGTAAATTCTATGATTTTGTCATTTTTTAATGCAGAGTAATACTCCATTGTGTATAAATGCCACATTTTTTTTATCCATTCGTCTATTGAAGGGCATCTAGGTTGGTTCCACAGTCTTGCTATTGTGAACTGTGCTGCTATGAACATCGATGTAGCAGTGTCCCTGTAGCATGCTCTTTTTAGGTCTTTAGGGAATAGACCAAGAAGGGGAATAGCTGGGTCAAATGGTGGCTCCATTCCCAGCTTTCCAAGAAATCTCCATACTGCTTTCCAAATTGGCTGCACCAATCTGCAGTCCCACCAGCAATGTACAAGTGTACCCTTTTCCCCACATCCTCGCCAGCACTTGTTGTTGTTTGACTTCCTAATGGCTGCCAATCTTACTGGAGTGAGATGGTATCTTAGGGTGGTTTTGATTTGCATTTCTCTGACAGCTAGAGATGTTGAGCATTTTTTCATGTACTTGTTGATTGACTGTATGTCCTCCTCTGTGAAGTGTCTGTTCAGGTCCTTGGCCCATTTGTTGATTGGGTTGTTTGTTCTCTTATTGTCTAATTTTTTGAGTTCTTTGTATACTCTGGATATTAGGGCTCTATCTGAAGTGTGAGGAGTAAAGATTTGTTCCCAGGATGTAGGCTCCCTATTTACCTCTCTTATTGTTTCTTTTGCTGAGAAAAAACTTCTTAGTTTCAGTAAGTCCCATTTGTTGATTCTAGTTATTAACTTTTGTGCTATGGGTGTCCTATTGAGGAATTTGGAGCCCGACCCCACCGACTGTAGATCGTAGCCAACTTTTTCTTCTATCAGACGGCGCGTCTCTGATTTGATATCAAGTTCCTTGATCCATTTTGAATTCACTTTTGTGCATGGCGAGAGAAAGGGATTCAGTTTCATTTTGTTGCATATGGATTTCCAGTTTTCCCAGCACCATTTGTTGAAGATGCTATCCTTCCTCCATTGCATGCTTTTAGCCCCTTTATCAAATATAAGATAGTTGTAGTTTTGTGGATTGGTTTCTGTGTCCTCTATTCTGTACCATTGGTCCACACGCCTGTTTTGGTACCAGTACCATGCTGAAAAACAAATTCTTGAGAGTGTTTTTTAATCCCTAAAGGTCTCAGGAATAATAAGCTTTCATAGAAATGTATGAAGACATGAATTGACAAGAACATACTTTATATACAGAGATATGAAAAATTGTGCTCCATATGTGTAATAAGAATTGTAATGTATTCCACTGTCATGTATTTTAAAAATAAAATCAATTAAAAATTTTTTTAAAAAAGAAATGGGTTCCTTTCCCTTCAGATCCCCATCTACCTTGAAATTGCGCCTTCAACAACTGTCTGTCTCCCTAAGGGACTGACACATGGAGAACGTGGGCAGTGAATGTTGTGGCTCACCCTTGCACCCTGAGCACTCAGTCGCCGTGATGCTCAGCCAATACTTCAGGACTGTTCTACGAGGCTGGAACAAATCACTTCCAAATACGACATCCTGCAGGGAAAGACGAAACATGGAAGCAATGTGGTAGAAATCAGACGATCTTCCAATTATGAAGCCAACAGTTTTCTCCAATAACAGCTGTGTTGTAATGTAAATAAACTGATCCCCAGCATGGAATTGGGTGAAAGGATTTTATTTTTAATATAGTTATAAAGCATAAGATAAGATGAAGAACGAGGACAAACAACTCCAAGTCTATATCTTCTGTGGCAAGGATCACAGATGGGAGCGGATCATATCCCCCATTGATGAAAATAGCACCCCAAGTCCCTTTTTTATCTATCTCAAACCCCATTTGAGCTCTGGAAGATTCCTTCCTCCTCCTTCTGGTGCCCTTAGTGGAGTGAGAAAGATTGCTAATTGACTCAAAGGTGAATTAAGTGAAGAAATAACTTCAGACCAGTAAACATATATTTTCATTTCAGATGCTTAGGTATAAACACAATCCATTTCCCCACCCACTTTCTCATCGTGTGTGAAAACTGCTCTACAATCTCTGATAAAAGAGTGTATTTTGTTGAAACAAGAGAGGGTTGTATACCCAAATGGATATGTATATTGGTCTTCAAATAAAGCCATCTTTTAAGCATCATGTTTTTGAAAGAATATATGTATGATCCCAGGATATTTTCATAAGATGTGTCTATACTCAACCACATGGATGTTATCTACAAAATTAGGATGAAGTCTATGTTCCAAGATGAAAAAGGGTAAAAAGATAAGGGAGCTGGATGTGTTAATGGATAATTGTCACAAATTTCCTCACACAGACGACCAGTTTCAAGAATTAGAATATATTTAGATATTAATAAAAATCCATATTGGAGATATATTTGCTATTTCAGAATGAATTTTGAATTTCACAATGTGTCTATTCATAATTATAAATTTCTATTAAGAGTAGACCATATCAGATTTATTTTTGTATTACCATGGAGCCAAATATACTGTCTTTTGATTAAGTATGTCAATTAGATGAAAGAATATTGCTGCCAGTTTGGAAATGTCAGAATATAGAATTTCATTTAATGGAATACTTCTGTGTATCAGTAATATTATACTAATATATTAGTAATGTTATGCTAGTATAACATTAACAAAATGAGTTAATAGTAACATTTGTGTGTATAGCACATAGCATATATTTTATAGAATTTTCATATATATTCAATCAATTAATTCCCAAAATAACCCTGTAAGGTAGACAAGTTTATAACTATATACCAGGAAAGGGTGGAGGAAACACTTCCAAACTATTTTTCCAAAACCAGAGAAGAAAATTATAAGAAAACAACATTATATGTAAATACTCCTCATACATACTAACAAAAAGTCTTAAAATATTAACAAGTAAAATCCAGTATCATATTAAAAGGCAACATATTCCAGAACGCAATTTTATTTTAACTTTGAAAACTAAAGATATAATTCTGCACACTGACAAAATAAAAGAGAATATGACGTGGGATCACCTTAGTAGATTCAGAAAAAAATAAATCTCAATGTTCATTCAAGATAAAATTGAAAAAAAAAATCAAAGCAAATTGTGAACAAGAGACTATCTTCAATTTGGAAAGTGTTGTCAGTTAGAGGCAACACCATGCTGAATGGTCAAAGACTGACCACTCATGTACCAGGTCAGCAACACCACAGGAAACTCACCCTTTCCATTGCTATTCACCACTGTTCTGATAGGCTGAGCTGGAGCAATAAAGCAAAATGAGTAAATAAAACATAAACATTATGGAGGAAGAAACCAGGGCTGGGTGTGCATCCCAGAGGTAGAATTCATGCCTAACATGCATGAGGTCCTGGGTTCAATCCTCAGAAGGTAGGTAGGATACTAAAACAAGTCTTCATAGACAGATTATGGACACAGAAAAATCCAAAGACACTTACAATCTACTTAACTAATAACTGAGAACCATATGGATCTTATCTACAAAATTAGGATGAAGTCCTAATAATAATAGTAATGAATAATAATAGTAATAAACAAATGGAAAATGATACTTCAAAAACAACTCATTAGAATATCACAAAAATTATACAATATTTATGGATAAGCCTAGCAAAATATTTAAAACCTTTATCTAAAAACTGCAAAGGACAGCTAAGAAAAATCAACAGATCTACAGCAATAGTTGACCAGAGTGGTCAAGAGAGTGTAACAGTGGAACAAGGGGATATGAACAGGGAATAGAATAGAAGGAAGAGTTCAGGAATAGATGCATATGTTCATGTTCAATTGATTTTTAACAAAAGCACCAAAGTAAATCATAAAGAGAGGAGAAGTCTTTTCAATACTGCTACTGGAGATCAGCTCATCAAAAGTGGCATTAATAAAATGAGCAAGCCACAGACTGGGAGAAAAGATTCACAAAACATATGAAATTCTTTATACACATACTGTGGCAAAGAACCTTATTCAGAATATAGAAACAATTTTACCAATTCAGTAATAAAGTGACAAATACACCATTTAAAAATGGGTGAATGACCTGAACAACACAAAAGATCTATGAATTGACAGTAAGCAACAAAATAGTGCTTAAATAGCAAACTATTAAGAAAATTTTTTAAAAAATGAGATACCAACTATAATCCAATATAGTGGAAAAGTTTTACAAGATGTTGGTAAGACACTGAACAAACAGAACTCTCACACATTTCTGATGGGAGTGTAAAAGGCTGTAGCTTTTTTTTTTTTTTTTTAATTTTTGATGGTTTTGATCACCTCATTTCTGTTCTTTACTGTCTAACCCAAAGAAAGGAAAACACATATCTACACATGTATATGAATATAAATGGCGTCCTTTTTTAAAAAGAGTCTCATGCTGGAAATGACTAAAATGCCCATCAACAGAAACAGATTAAGAAATTGTGATGTACTTATATGGTAGAAAATAAATAGGAACCACTACGGATCACTTATGCAACAATGTAAGTTAATCTCACACACGTTACACTGAATGAAAGACGTCAGACCCAGAAGAGTACCTGACAAGAGATGCCATTGACATCGGTTCTAGAACAGGCAGGACTCATCTGTGGAGAAGAAATCAGAGCAGCAGTTGCCTCTGGTGAGAGGAGAGGGTGGTTGTGCCGACAGCCAGGGGCGGAGGGGAAGCCATCCACCTTGTGACAGCATGGATTCCATAAACATGCATTTGCCAAAACTCAAAACCGAGGCACGTGTGACCTGTGCATTTCACTATATGAAGACCATACCTCAGTAAAGTACTTCCAAGCACAGAGAGCAAATACGTTTAAAAAGCAAAGAAATAAAATAGGGTAGAAGCACAACATAATGTGCTTCTAGTTTTAATGATCCATGTTTTCCATACAGCACGCACCCAGTGTCAATCATGGTTTCTTGCCCCATTTGGCTCATAAACCAAAGCCAACTTCATCATCCAACGTCCACAGGCCCCAACAGAGTCTGTCTCAAACAGGACTAAAGTTCCCAGGAACCTTCAAGGACATATCTGAGTATGTGTGATTTTTAGCCTTATGTGCTGACTTTAGAATCTACTTGAGGATAAACTATGATTCCACTGTTATTTTGCCTTCATTAGGTAATAACCAATAAACCCAAGACTAAATTCCTATCACATTATTCTTAGCCCTCTGGTTATAATCAGATGCACTAATAGCACTTGCATGAAGTGTATCAAATTCTTCCTAATCTCTTCCCTTCCCTCTCCCTACCAAAAAACGTGAGCTATTTATAAAACTCTCAGCCATCTTTTCATTTGGTTGTACTTATCTGGACTCAGAAGCCATGCATGGTAAATTTCAGACCTATAATTTGTGGCTTCCTGCTTCCAAGATTACCCCAGAGTCGTTCTCATGTGACTGTTTTTCTAGTTAAATATTTACATATATACACAGGGTACACAGGCAGTTCATATTTGACATGATTTAATAGCCACCTACATCTGTTTCTCATCATAACAAGACTGAAAAATGTGCCTACTAAACATATTTTAAATTTATTTGTCCAAAACATTGTTTCCATTCTCATTCTGAGACATTTTTTTCTGTGTACAGGAAATAGAACTTGACCTTTTTCCTTCTCAGAATCTTGGCTTCAGGAATCTCTCTTACTACCCATCTTTACTTTCCAAGCCCAATCAAAGCATGTGTCATGTCTTATTTTTAACAATGTGTGAGAAGCACAAAATTTGGGGGAAACAGGAAAGGGGGAATGACATTCTATTTAAATGAAAAAAATCTCCAAAAGCAATGACGGACTTCAGATTTGATGGTTCAAGGTTAACAAGAGTACAAATGAGTCCACTCCATCCCGAGGTCAAAATGCCTGGAGTCTGCTTCCGGCTCAAGCATGGCCTTTCCAAATATAAAAAAGAGAAAATTCTTGGCTTTTAAGAAGTCCTGTAATCACAAAATTACAAAAATCACAAAATTGCAATTGTGAAATCACAACTTACAACATGAATTCTCCCACTATCTAATAAAGGAGACCAGTGGTATTTTAGACTCTTATCTTTTTTTTTCCTAGAAATATAAAGCATAGTTAAATCATGAGAATATTCCATTCAGAACACTAATTTATAATAAGCTGATGTTGTCTGACTTTCAATTTTGTTTTGAGATTCAATCTACACATCTGTTTTCTTATGTTTATTCATGTGGTTTTCTAAGCAATAACAAAACAAAGTAAGAGAGAATGAAAACAAAAACAAAAAATTCCTGAGTGAATTATAAATCCTAGAAACTGACCATATTTCATTCTGTATCAAAGAAGAAAAAAAATCAAAGAAACAGTGGTTTTCAACTATTTCAACATGCATTTTACCAACTTGTGCCTAATTCAAGACCTTGCTGTGATTGTTCCTCATCCCTGTTTATCTTTCAGCCACTTCACAGCTCATTAGACTCCAAGAAAAAAGTAATTGGAGAAAATAAAAGGAGATGAGACTCCCATGAGTGCAGCCCCAAGGAAAAGCTTTGTTTTCAAGAAGCTT